TTATTCAACAACAAAGGCAAAGTTCAAAGATTTTCACAATCTATGCATAATCTATTTAATGGTTTAAAATAATCAGGTATTGGTCAAAGGGGTAAATGCCAGTTTCAGTTTTTAATGTTCTATGAAATACATTGTATGGACAAAGGGGAGCAATTCCTAATTCCTATGCAAATTAATTATCCAAAGGTCTAAAATGATCTATTCTAGAGGAAACTTGGTATCCCTCTTCTACAAACCTATAAAGATATACTGTACACACAAGAAGAATAACTTCACAGTGGTACACTTTTACATAAAACTTTGATTCATAACAAATTAACAGTAAATCCTTCTGTACAATATGATGGGAACTTCGTCTTTATTTTGTTGTCCATTCCAAAAATAATATATATATATCTTTTGCCTTAGCTTTCAGTACTTTCAGTACTTTGATTACATGTTTGTATTAATTTTGATTCCATTTGAGGCGGCTTTTTTTTCGCAACAAATATAAGAAAGTAGATATTAAATTAGAACTTTAATATTTTAATGATGTAAAAGGTACATTCTACATTCATGGAACTGTTCTTCTTATGTAGCTGATCCTCATCCATAATACCAAATCTAAAGCTGAAAATATAAAAAGATTTGCATTTGTCAACTACACAACTTTGAAATGAATTCATCATAATATATATGATACTGTGTTTTCACAGGGATTTTTTAATGTTTGACAATTGAAATGGTCCTGACAATAAGTCAAATTCTAGTCATATAAAATACCGTTTTGTTTCTGTCAAAAAAAATGGTCCTGACAATAAGAAGTCGCACCCTACTCATATTAAATATCAGTTTTATACGAGTAGGGTTTGAATTCTTATTGTCAGGATCATTTTGATTGACAGAAACAAAGTAAAAAATGCCTGTGCATGTTTTTGAATGTCTTAGAAACATATTTTTTTGCACCAGATACAACTGGAATATGCCATTTACAAAGAGTGCAGAATTCAGCGCATGGTCCACAACTGCCAGACTTTATCCACTATAACTCAGCTTCCTACAACATTTGATATGTGCACAATTATCTTTTCTTTTAGCATTTCATGTAGTAGAACCTGCAAGTACTGTAACGATAAACAACTTCTTCCTTCAAAAAGACATAACGTTACCTTCAAAATACAATCTAATTCTATACTACGTAAATTCAATTGTAAAAACAACTCAATTATTCATGAAAACACCTCACTTATTACTTGTCGGTAAGTTCAGTAACAACAGTCTTTGTATAAACACTTGTAAAAACAGCTCACATCTTAATTGTCGGTGAGAGACGAAAACAGGAAATAGATTGTCTTATGGCAAAGGATGGAAAAGTCTAGAGAATTCCGAGTGACTTCGGAAGATACGAAAATATTCTGGGCAAAAACTGGTGAAATTAACAAAATCTGAGTCAAAAGCGTAACTCGGCGTGTGAAGTTATTAAAGCGGGTGAAGGGCTAAAATCCTGTGCGTAACCCGATGAAATGGGGTCACTTGGCAGGTATGCTTTTCTCATATAAACCAATCGTCCTTGTTTGGAATTCAGATTTACTCTTTTTTTTCAGAATTTGAAACACATAAAAGATTTCTTCTAAGTTGATGGAAATATAGAAACTATGCTGATCAAGACAAGTCATCCCAGGAGAACACAGACCATTAGAATTTGAATTTTCGATTTGTCACATATGTGTTCCATTTATCTACAACTACTGCATTCTTCCCCTATAATGAACAGTTCTTATTTATTATATTTTCTAACTGTTATGCATTGAAAGTGACAAAATATCTGTAAGCATAATAACGGTACAAAATATAAAACAATCTCAATGCTTTTTGATGCGCTTCAAAAGAATTGGATTTAATAGATTTCTTGTGTTTTGTAAAGTTCTATTTTCAAGTGCAATGTTGACATTTTCCCTCTTAATTTAACGATGAAACGTCACCTTAGTTAGGGGTTTTGTAAAACCATTCCCTATAGTTATACTTGAATATGATGGTTTAAACAATTGATATCCAAATTAGCATTTTCACATAAATTTAAATGCAAGCACTCATCATTTAACATGAGGTATGGTCTACTCTGGACTGTAAACATGTGTTGACGTGAATGTAATAATTTCCTTATCACTTGTCATGATAACACCTGTATCAAGTACTGTACTATTGAAATATTGTAGTGTTCCATTCACTAATGGATAAAAAGTAGTTCTATGAAGAAAATTAAATAGCTGCTTGTAATGTCTGACATTTTCGTATGAAGATTGAGTGGAAATTGCCCTTAAAAAGTACTTGAATATGATGGTTTAAAAAATTGATATCCAAATTAGCATTTTCACATAAATTTAAATGCAAGCACTCATCATTTAACATGAGGTATGGTCCACTCTGGACTGTAAATATGTGTGGACTTGGATGTAATAATTTCATTTCCATTCACTAATGGATGAAAAGTAGTTCTATGAAGAAAGTTAAATAGCTGCTAGTTATGTCTGACATTTTCGTATGAAGATTGAATGAAAATTGCCCTTAAATAGTACAAATTAATGAAAATCAAATTTCCAGTTTTGTCCTCCTTATAAGATAATTTCTCTTTTTTTTGCAGATGTGTGCCTGATCTCTCGTCGTTTGTTGTGAGACCATGGCCAACAAAAAGATCGACATAAATAGGTGCAGTGTAGAGGACCTTGAACAGTTACCAGGCATTGGACGTCATAAGGCTGAAGCTATAGTAAAACAGAGGAAGGTGAGTTATACAAGTTAACATGATAGGTCTTAGGCTGTTCTAGTATTGGATGTCTTATTTATAAGGCTGAATCTATTGTAAAACAGAGGAAGATGAGTTATACAAGTTAACATGATACGTCTTAGGCTGTTCTAGTATTGGATGTCTTATTTATAAGGCTGAAGTTAGTGTAAAACAGAGGAAGGTGAGTTATACAAGTTAACATGATACGTCTTAGTCTGTTCTAGTATTGGACGTCTTAAGGCTAAAACTATTGTAAAACAGATGAAGATGAGTTATACAATTTAACATGATACGTCTTAGGCTGTTCTAGTATTGGATGTCTTATTTATAAGGCTGAAGCTATTGTAAAACAGAGGAAGATGAGTTATACAATTTAACATGATACGTCTTAGGCTGTTCTAGTATTGGATGTCTTATTTATAAGGCTGAAGCTATTGTAAAACACAGGAAGATGAGTTATACAATTTAACATGATACGTCTTAGGCTGTTCTAGTAGTGGATGTCTTAAGGCTAAAACTATTGTAAAACAGAGGAAGATGAGTTAGACAAGTTAACATGATACATCTTGGGCTGTTCTAGTATTGGATGTCTTATTTATAAGGCTAAATCTATTGTAAAACAGAGGAAGGTGAGTTATACAAGGTAACATGATACGTCTTAGGCTGTTCTAGGATTGGATGTCTTAAGGCTAAAACTATTGTAAAACAGAGGAAGATGAGTTATACAAGTAAACATGATACGTCTTAGGCTGTTCTAGTATTGCATGTCTTATTTATAAGGCTGAAGCTATTGTAAAACAGAGGAAGGTGAGTTATACAAGTTAACATGATACGTCTTAGGCTGTTCTAGTATTGGATGTCTTAAGGCTAAAACTATTGTAAAACAGAGGAAGGTGAGTTATACAAGTTAGCACGAGTCTGAGACTAGATTTTTGCCACACAACATTTTAAGACTGAGGCCAGTTTTAAAAAAAAGTGAACAATTCTTTTGATCAAAGTTTGAAGGTGGACTTAAACAAAATTCTGAGGCCCAAACTAATCACAAAAAAGTATGAGTTTAAAGTTGGTTAGAAGTACAAGTCAAGGCTCATGGTATAGTGATGGCCGTAACACAAGTCGATCAGAAGACCCTAAAATCTGAGTTATTCTTCAAGTTGTTTTCCAATCCAACTCTGTATATATATAATATGTGTTACAACACCATTCGCTGTGAAAAAAGCAAAATAGCTTGTGGCACAAATATGCAAAATTTAGCCACAATTTCATGTAAGATAAGATTCTTGAATGAAGTTTGTCAAATAAATTGCTATTTTATCAACTGGCAATAAAGAGCAAGATTGTGGGGTTGACTGAAACCTGATATGGATCAATGTTGTACTCAGTGACATATTGTGTAAGTATCCTCAAAATAATTAAAATCTTCAAGGTGTCAAATTACAACACCACTCTAGATCTGGTCCTTATTGACTTTTGATACTGTAACAGAATACTTAGGCCTTTCATTGATGTGACAGCTTTTTATTGCGGAATAGAAAACCAGCTGTCAAATACCGTATGATATAGATCAGGTTATTTTGCTAGGAAAGCCGCATTGATTTTTTGAATGAATTGGATGACAAAACCTGTGTATCTTGCAATACAATGCACATATATGTGGAATGTATGTTGTCTGAATAATAGGATTTGGTTAAAAATAACTTCACTAATTACTAGTAATTAGTTCACCACCATGGATGAAAAGAGCTGGAGTCTCCATATAACATACCCTGAGCATGGCAATACCTAAGAAGCAAGCCTCAGACCTTATGCTACATGATTGAATCCTAACCAATAAATAACATTCTCAAGGGTGAATTTTTATGGTAACTTGATCATGACCTTGTTTCTTATGAAATTGAACTGGTGTTGTGCATTTGTACAGGTGTACAATTAGACATTTTGAAACAACAGCCTTGTTAAATAATTTTGTTGAGTACATATTTACCTATACTGTACCTACCTGTTTCTCATGTCTTTAATTTTTTGCTGCTGACAGCTGTCATCAGTGATTCGTACCAGGAAACAAATGTCAAAAGTCTTTTCTTGTTGTCCAGTGTCATTGATTCCCTGTTAGATATTTATGAAGGTGTGTCATGATTTTGAAATGTGTACTTCATCAAATATGTCAGGGCCATTATGGGGTCAAATCCTGGCCTGGCCAATTCCAATTTGATAATGTCGAAATTCTCAGTTTGTATTCTGATGAAAATGCAACAGCAACATCTTAAACAAAACAATATTTAAGTCTTTCAGATGCTACTATGTAAAAAAGGAAAAACAGTATTTGGATTACTTCAATGTATTTCCCAATTTCAAAGCTACTGGTCTCATTCTCAAAATACGGAGAAAACATCCTGTATGTGTCTATTTGCCTCCATGTTATGACGACATGACAACAAAAAAAATCCTTTCATCTTTGATATAATCTGCTAATCATTGCGTTTACGGGTAACTGACAACAGAATCAGCGGAATGTGCATGTTTTGTCACACAAGTGTGTATAGACTCCAAGAGTAATGCTATTACACAGTTTATGGGAATTAAATAGGATTACTGGCACAGCCTGAAGAAGTTTAATAAAGTTGTGTGGAAGAAGGAAGTAAATACATAATGTGAAAAACAGTCAGTTTACCTGTGTGTGGCTACATGTTTTAAAAAATTTCTCCAAGAGTTTGTGTTGTAATTTGAGGAAGTGGATTTCAGCAGTATTTGAGGAAACATTTTCCATAAGAAAGTGCACTTCATTTTCATAATACACTATACTTAATATGGTCCCAACAAACTCAATATAGTGTGTTTTCATTCTTAAGCTTCAACAATATTTCCTTTGAGGAATTCAGTTGATACGATATTCCACATTTAGTGATAAAACTATTGAAAAATATGAAAACTTATGTTTAATTTAACATGTTGATACATGTACAAAGATAAATATTAAATATTTGTAGTGTAAAATTATATAAAGTCAAACCTGTATAACCTGTATTATGCATAGTTATATTATATATAATATATATGTATAATGTATACAGAACCTTAAATTTATATTCCTTATATTCATTTAATAGAAAAATACGAAAAGACAAAAATTTGTGATCTTGTAAAATTTCTAAATTAGTACAGGTGTAATAGGCCAATTTCAGTTTTTAATAAAAAATTACAAGATATTTGGAACTGCTCTGAAAGATTTTTTAGCTGAAACTAGTCAATAGGTCTGGGTAGACAGATGGCCTATATACATATTAGAATCAATGAAAAGCTTGTTAATTTTATGTAACACATGTACAAGGAGGTTATAATTATGGACCTGCATGTATTAAACTGCTTAGGTGGCCCTACATAACCATGCTGTCTCAGCATGTACAATGTATGTACATGTCAGAGGCACACAATCTCCATCACAATTGATTTTATAAAAATTGAACTAGGCCATTCCCTTCCTTCATCAATCAATATGTATAGTGATAAGTCAGCGAAAGCTGTCAGGCGTTGGAAGTAATTGTAGCCATCCATCCCATACATGTGTTTATAACGGTAGCATGTGTGGAGACCAGGGAGAAACACTCGGTAGTTATATATAGCTAGATTCACTAGGCCAGTCAGTAGGTATATAGCTAGATTCACTAGGCCAGTCAGTAGGTATATAGCTAGATTCACTAGGCCAGTCAGTAGGTATATAGCTAGATTCGCTAGGCCAGTCAGTAGGTATATAGCTAGATTCGCTAGGCCAGTCAGTAGGTATATAGCTAGATTCACTAGGCCAGTCAGTAGTTATATAGCTAGATTC